AGCAAGAAGTTGAGAGTAAGCGGCCGTTGGTAACCGTACTCGTCGAGCTCGTCAAAGAGTTAGAAGGGCAACGTAACTCATACATGAGTCCGCTGAGTTTCTCACGGGATCTTCCCAGTGGGTCGCGATTCCGATCCGGTAGTAGTTCATTTTTAATTCCATTTCTCTTTTGGTTCATTACCATAAATTAAAGGAGGTATACCACTGCTTTTTTATGTTATGTTACCTATGAATTCTGTCTCCACATTAATATTTTAACATCCCAATGTATATTTTACTTCAAAATGTATAACGATAAATGAATAACTGTTTATCTTTAAAAGGAAAATTTCTGTTAGTTACGCTCTTAACTATTATGTGTACTATCTATAGATTACATTTGATACCTATATCTTATTATGGTAATACTAACAACTACCTACTACGATACACTTTCTTAATTTATTGAAAAAATAAAGGAAATTACATTTCGGAAGTTACACACATTTTCTTTTTTTAGCGCTGGGAAATCACACTTTACGGACACCCAGCCACGAGGATATTTTTTTGTAAGGGATTTTATGACCTGATAACTAAGGCCTTTAGGTCAAGTCTTATTTTAATTTATATTATTCTTATTTTCACGAAAAATTATAGTATGCAGTGAAATGAAATGAAGATGATTAATTTGAGACATTAATCAACTGGGATGAAATCAAATGAAATGAGATGAGATGATATGGGATGAAATATAATCTCAGTAAAATGGTGATCATCTACTGAGACTTTTTCATTGGACTTTTTGGAGGATCCCGAGAAGCTACGTCCAGCGGCTTTGTTTCATACCGTTACACATTTAAACCTGAAAAAACAATAAATAGACAAAATAAAACAAATCACACAACTACACTCCTCGCGTTCCCGCCAAAAAGTCAAATAATAATATGATAACATTTGCTACAGATTAGGTATTTAATACGAACAAATTATTAGGTCTTGTCTTGTCTTTACTTTAGTATTATAATAGTATTAGTATATATTTTGTATTGGTTACTTTTAATTTGTATTGTAAAGGCTGTTTCACGTCATGGACTACTTGCTGATCGTGGTAGTCCAGTGATAATAAAAACTAAAAATAAAAATATCGGGTCTACGCCATTTGTGATTTTCTAATTGCAAACTTTCAATCCGTTGATGGGATTCTCTGTCGATCAATTAAATAGTTACAAAAAATTATCTATCGTCTACATATCCTCCATTCAAATCAATATGTAAAGCATAATGGATTCTTTATCCTACGGCAATATATGATTTACTAACCGTGCAAAATACATTCGTCGAAGTGAGTGGAGTTGAAGACCCGCAAAAACCTCCACTTGGAACTACTTTATACCGTTTTTAAATAATAACGAACGTGTTCTTTGTTCCACAGTCAGATAAAATTTGGTCATTGATAGTAAACAATCTTGTGAAAGTATATGTTAATTTCTATTATACAATAAATTAAAAGTGGTCATAATAATATGTCTATCTCGTAAAGTATTAGGTACTAAAAAAACAAAATTTTCGTTACCAATTCATTTAGATACCCAAAAACTATTTACAAACAATTAAACGATATTCATTTTTAAAAAAATACTATTTTGAATACGTTGAAATGACATTAAATGTGCATTGAATCTGCATAAAGTGCACAGTCTAGTAACGGGATTCCCAAACTGTTTTGGACAAGAGATCTTTTTCCAATGTGAACCCTCAGTAATACCTCAAACCAATCCACTGAGTTTCTCATCAAATCTTTTCAGTGGATCGCGATTCTCATCCGGTGATAGATTTTGCGAAGCGCTGCTCTTGCTAGGGTAAATGTTAGCAAATTCCCTCAGGCTAAACCTGTGAGCTCACCTACTCGTCCGCGCGCAGCAGTGTGCTTAGTGCGAGTCTTTTAAAGGGGATGGCCCATTTTAGGCCCAAAGCGGACAATAGATTATAGAAAAAATACTTAGTGCATTAATTTTGTCATAAATAAATATGCATTTACTTTCTTGCAAATAAGCGCCACTACAGTTTACAATAAGTAGTTTAAAAAAAGTAACTCTATTGAAAAAACAAGGATTTTTATTTTTGCGGGAAAAATATTGCCAGCTTCAAATCCTTTTACGTATGAAGTAAATATTTTGAGTATATAAATAAAACATATAAATAAATCATTTTAAGTATTATCATTAATCAAACGATTTTAATGGATTTTATGCACATAAAATAACATCGAAGACATACCCATTGGACTTTAACTTGTAACTATACTTGAGACCTTAGAACTTATATCTCAAGGTGGGTGGCGCATTTACGTTGTAGATGTATGTGGGCTCGAGTAACCACTTAGCAACACCAGGGTGGCTGTGAGCTCGCCCACCCATCTAAGCAATAAAAAAAACTTTACTAGTATTGTTATTTAAATATGTACAACTAAAACAAAAACATAAAAAATAATGTGTACTCGTAAAAAAAAGATTAAGATATAAATCAATTATCGGTTATTTAAAAAAATAATCGATATATGAATTTCATGTAATTATTTTTCTTTATACTGACAACACTGAATTTAATCTGACTGACTGACACTTCGCTTGCTGCTTGTGGTGTTGTGCTTGCGTACAAAATGGATGTGTTTTGATTTTTCTTCGATTTATTTTACTTTTATCAATAACGTTTCATACTACGACTAAAAAACATTGTCTGAATTGTGGTTTTACCCTGACCGAGATTTAAAACCGTGTATATGCTCTCCTTTGCTATTTTTAGATGATACTAATTGTGTATGAAGATGAAGAAAATATAGATATTTAAAGAATTAAGTGTGTGTTTTTATACCCTATTGGATAAAAATACATTAGGAACATCTTAAACATTAAGAAAAGAAAAGTTCTTGAAGTATCTCACAATCCGACACTTATTTATATAGAAAATTAACCTCAAAACGAGTTTTTATTTTTATTATATTTTTTATAATAGTGGCGTCAATATCAATATATTTTTTAGATATCCAATACATTTAAGAATTTGAATCAGTACATTTTTATAGTAATATTTGATGTCCATCTTGGGCCTAGCACACTATGGAGAGTGGGCAATCCCCTTTAAGTTGACTTTTACGCTATCGAGAACGTTAAAAATTCGCACTCAGCACACAGGAATTGCCCCTTAAGTAAATTACTTTATCTCTAAGTAGAGAAAAAAACTTTTTTCTATCTTCTTCTTCTCTTTCTATCTATACATATAAATAAAATTGGAGTGTCTGTTTGTAATATTGAAATAGCCTCTTTTTACTACATGCATATGAATATATATACGGTACATACACCAAAATAACATTTTTTACAATTTTTGTCTGCCTGTCTGTCTGTTTGTTCCGGCTAATCTCTGGAACGGCTGGACCAATTTTGACGGGACTGATACGTAGCTAATGATATAAGGAGTAACTTGGGCTACTTTTTTTAGACTAGCTTCGCCCCGCGGCTTCACCCGCGATACGACAATAACCGCGGGTAACATCGCGGGACTCCGCTATCAATAATAAAGTCTAATGCTTCCGAAGCGAAGCGAAGGCGGGTCGCTAGTTAGTAAATAATTGTAAATCATCTTTTATAGTATGAGGTAGCGCCCTCTGTGAATTGATATTTTAACTTCACGTATAATCCTAAATTAAAACTTCACTACAAAGGTTTCATATACACGTTCGTATTAAAAAATCTCATAGATGGCGCTGTATTAAAAAACACTACACTAAGAATGTCTATTGTGTTCTATCTCATTCTCTCGCCGGCTAAATTCTATACATTTATGTGTTTGCGTCTATTGACTTATTTTTTCGTTTCATCGATTTTTAAATCACAACGATTCTAAAGAAGTTTCACTTCAATAATTAACTGTTGGTACTTTCAAGATACTGAATTAGTTGGTACACATAACTAATAATGGAGGGTAGAACTAGGAGTACCATCTCAGTATATTATAAATTGTCCGCTAGAAAGGGGCCAAATAAGGTGGCGCAATAGTAACAAGTGGAACGATTTTAAAAACAACGCCCTATAGGTACTAACACACTTCGGCTAAGCATATTCCGATTTGCACTGCAAGCACTGTAAGGTGTGAAGTCAATTTAGTATATAATAATATATTTTAGTAAAATAAATATTTCTTCTAAGCAATTTAAGGAATAATTACTTAATAACCGAATTATTAAAATGAGGTTATGCCCCGTAAAAGTAATCACGTGATCAAAGCACAGAGCACTTTACTTCGAAAGCACCAGTGTTCACAGTAGAAAAATGGCGACGATTTATGACGTCATATATTTTCCCAGGATACTGCGATTGTATACTGTGAATCTTTATCGGAACGAATTTTTCCCAGAAAGAGCACTGAACTGTGCTCACAGTGTAAATCGAAACATAGCCTTCTATGCAATCCAACAGTCTGCTTAAAACTGCTATCTATATTCATACAATTTTTACTTCCTACACTAGCGCTATTTCAGTGAGTCTTCGAACAATAACTTACAAAACATACTTACAGAGGATACTTTTTCAACTATGCAAGATGGTACTTGCTATTTCTATCCCCATGTACGTAACACAAGGTACCTATAACGTTTCTTGAAATTTTCAAGTAACAACTTTTGTTAATTGAAGTCTTTTTTTAAGCCTGGTTGCCCTGGAACATCACTTTTTACTTAAATGTTGACCTTTTTTTTTTTGGGTAGAGGGCCGAACCTCCTACGAGGTCCACGCGCAAAAGGGGCGCGCGGGGTATGTGAGATTCTACGATCTGCATGGTGTTGTGAACAGACCGCGGGCCCAAGGATTTTAGGGCCCACTGACCCCTGGGAAACAGATATCGAACAAAAATCGCTTGCCTAGATAAAATAAAAACTTTGAAGTTTAAACCACAGACAACTGAATTAAATCGATCAAGAAACTTCATGGCAATACAAAAAATTTTTACTTTGTCTATTGGTTGAATCACATGACCCGTCTATTTTGTTCCCGTGATCAAATCGTGGAAATTCAAAAATAATTACGCACAATGGCCAAAATTAAAATTGACGTTGATGACATACATGAGAATTCGCTCGATAACAGGTAATTTGTTTTTAAATATCCCGGAAAACCTTTTGTTATATAATTGTCACTTGTAATGCACCGAAGGTCAATATATTTTGTAACTTGGCAGACGAAAACGTACGTACTTCAAACATCAGTAGCCACTCATTCTGTACCTATATGTAATGTTTTGATTCCCAATTTCGTATTTATTTACAGTGCGGACAGTGAATATCTCGGTATTGGTGAAGAAGGAGCTTTCGGTGAGTTGTAAACGTAACCCTAATTGTCTGAGCCAATTAACTCTATTCAATTATGTGAAATTTAATTATGAATTAATTCTAGGTAGTACAGCGCCGAGACCACAGTTAGTACCGCAATCGTTTTTGGATACAAACGAAAATACCACTGCTTATCATTTCAAAGACATATGTGAGTATACTGATCAATGTTATTGACTGAATGATCTGTGTAATTAATGAAGAATCATCTTAATTTTGATTCCATTGCAAGACACAAACATTGACTGAGTATAATGTGGATATTAGGAGAGGCTTGTAGTGTGTGCTATTATTGATAAATTGTATAATGTCAAGAATAAATAGTTTTATTATCTGTAAATTTTATTTGATCTTTAAAGCAATATTAAGATATTTATTGGATTTTATTGAAACATAATTTGAACTAAATTTGATTTTATGAAGTAAATTCTCGGTGCTTATGTTTAGGTCTTGAGTAAAGTATGCTTGATGGGATGAATTCAATTTGAAATCACTTAAATCCTTGTATTTATTTTTATATTCAAGGCTAATTTACTTGATTATAAATGAACACTATTAATATTTTGTTCAATGCATCACATACATCCGAAATGTCGGGAGTACAGTGAAGTTGCCGTCTAAAGCTTAAGAACTCAACCATAGCTAGTTACGAGAACTTGTGATATTATAGATGGAGATAAAGAGGGACTTCTTTTATCTCTGTGTTTTGGATTGTATGTTCCAAGGAGAGTGCTTAGAGGAATTGTTCAAGATTATCCCTTCGCCTCTTTTTTCCCTAATTTTTACTGTACTTATTGCCTAGCACTGTAGCAGAGTTCATTCATACTATATTTTTACCACACACCATTTGCCTTTGGAATGAAGTCCCCTCCACTTAGTTTATTGAGATCTTTTTAGAGACACGTCTTTCTTCAAATTAAGTTTGAGGAGAGTCATTAGCAGTACGCAGTGGCTGTGCCCCTAGCATTGCATCTCTCACCATATTTATAACTAATACTTAATCAATGAGAACATTCATAACCTTACCTTCTTAACGTTACCTTGAACCTGTCTCAGAAATTTGTGCCACATATGACTTACACAAAATAAAAAGATGGTCCACTAATAGTCCTACTGAACTATGAATTCTTATAAAATGTTACCTTGTCTTTGTTTCAGCTGGTACAGTAACATATAAATTAATAACAATGACGGGTGAAGAAAATGTTGCAAATGCCTCACCGTCTCCTCCTCACAGTAAGAATTTATTTATAAAGTAAAAGATTACACAAAACTTGTTTTTATTTGAAATGTACTATTGCACTAAGTGGGTTTAATTAAAACTTAAATAGCATTTCACGACTTTCAGTAGGGTACAATGCTTGCAAGGTACTTTATTACAGTGACATAGAATGTTGCTTAGTGATCCCAATCTCTAAATTGTATGTCATTAAATAGATAATATATAAAAGCAATACCTTTTTATTCATATAAAGACAATATTGTAATAGCTTTATATTGATTTGAATTAATTGTAAAAGACCCATAGACAAATTCGTAAGGTTACTCCCACCAGCCTTACATGTTTTTGTGCCATTTGATTTTGTACTCTTAAACCCATTTGTGATTGATAATTTAAATGTTAAAATATCTAAAGAGTTGATAAAATTATTTCTTTTTCTGCATAAAACAACATGTAATTTATACAAAAGTGCTTTATGTTACTACGTATCTACATTTAATAGATTTTCCTGATGCAGAATACTATGTGATAAGTAATCCAGTTGATGTCTTTGGACCATCTGCTGCTGCAAAAAAGCCAATCCGCAGGGATCCACTGCAAGCCAAAGCTGTTAGTACTAAAAAGGTAACATCATTCTTAAAAAAAATTAAATTTTACACTTACTGTTAATCAAAAAGGACTAAATAAAGATAGATTGTAATAGTCATATATTAATGTAATGTACATAGACAATATGTACAAATAAACAAAAAAATTGAATTATGTAATAATACAATATTCAAAAATATTAACTGAAATTTTAGTTTGTACATCTTTAATTATGAGCGATTCTAAACTTGTATTCGATTCGATTAACTTCGATTAATTGTATACTTTTTTTGTGGTAAAATTACTTTTAATTACTATTAATTTCTTCATATTTACCCTTGTGAAGGCTATTGCTATATTACCACTAATTATTAAAATGGAGTTTGTAAAAGTATGTTTTGATATATGGATGCATATGTTTTAAATTTAGCGTGACGATAAACGGAGAGCTACACACAATGAGGTTGAGAGACGTCGTCGAGACAAAATCAACAGCTGGATCACGAAGTTAGCAGCAATGGTGCCCAATTCGGGAATGCCAGACTCTGCCAGTAAGGGTGGTATATTGGCAAAGGCTTGTGATCACATTGCAGATCTCACAGAAAAACAAAAAAGGTAAATCATGGATTTTTGTTAAATAAGGCGCTTAGGCTGAACCTGAAATTTCAGGTTCACAATCAGCTTCAGTTGAGACATAAAATCATAAATCCCAAATTTATGTTATTACTGGTGGTTGAGAGTATTGAGCAATTCAATGTGCTTGCAAGCTAACCTCTTCTGCTGTGAAGCACTTATGAATTCTGCTCACTTTCTCGAGGGTGTGACAGCAATACAATAGAAAATTCAGCCTCGCCCTCCAGAGTGCTGACGTTTACACAATAATTAGGACAATTGTCGTGTCTGAGGTGAAGGACTTTTATTGTTGTTGTTGCCCTTGTATGCAGACGAGCGTACGGTCCACCTGATGATGAGTGGTTACCGTCGCCCATGGACTTCAGGAATGCCAGGGGCAGAGCCAAGCTGCTGCCTACCGCTAAAACCGAAGTCTACGAGTGACGCTAACCTCTCGACACTAGGTGGCGCGATACCTATCATAATACATATTTCATTCTCACTCTTCAAGTCTCGATACAGTATTTACAAATTCCCTGTTGTTACAGGTTAGAAAAACTGGAATTAGATAACAAGAAATTAGTATTCGAAATATTGAGGCTGAACCAAGAATTGACTGAAGTGCGAAAAGAGAATTCTTCAATGAGAAACCAGCTCGCTGATAACTGTGTGGTCATTCCTAAAAAATCAAAAGACCCAAAATCATAGTTCACGGTAAAGCTGTTAATTAGTGTTTAGACTATTGGACTGAAATAATTAGGTGCTGTATGTCTAGAATACCTATGGATGATACAAAGTGGTCACATCTGGGCAGTCAAAATGTCATGAGAGTGAAATGAATGTATGACAAATTTCCTTATGAAAACTATGTTCATTGTACACAAAATGTGTTCAATATTATAAGATTAGAATTTTCTCCATATAAAACTTTGATAAATAAACGATTAAGCACTAGTTAAATACAAGATATGCAATATAAAAATGTTCGTTAAATAGCATACAATCAATTTTACTGTCGAGGCAGTAGTGTCTTGTTTGATTTGAATTTAAGTGTATTCAATTTCATATACTTTAATTAATTAGAATAATTAATTTTATTTTAATGTAGAAATCAATAATAGTTACTATACATAATCGATTTAAAGCTATTACTCGTATATTATTCTTGAATATATAAAATTACCAAACATCTGTGTTAACACAAAGCATGTATTTTAATATCATGTGATTTCCTGTAAATAAAAAAATAGCAATACAGAGGTCCCTCGTATGACATTAAAAAACACGGTTTCGATATTAGACGATACCGGAATTGAGGTATAAAGCTTTAAATAACATGATTTAAAAAATATATATATATTGGAAATTGGAATTTTCCTTTAAATTACGTTCAATAAGGAAAGTCTTTAACTTTATTGCTACCAAAAAATCGTTTAGTTCATTTTGAGATGGCCAGTATGTCTTTAGAAATGAAATTGATAAAGTTTTCGCTTGGTTTGTTTTTTAACATTTTCGAAAGTAAAGTGAAATGTGAAAAACAGTACATACATTAATTTTATTAAAAGTTTATAAGTGCATAATAATTTTGATTTGTGATATTTAAAAAATGACTTCATAAAGTTTAAAATCTAATTTTGGATCTTAAATGTAGATTATGTTTGACAATATCAATAAGCAATTTAGAATCAATTCACTCGAAAGAAAAAAAATGAATTTTAGATTGTATAAATTGCTGATTAAAGTCGAAATCATTAAATTTAATCGAGGCTACTATGCATCATAAAAATTTACACCTTCAAGACGAGGTTTTGATATAATGCGGTACGCATTGCTTTTATTTAAATTTCAAGGTTTCGTATAACAGGGTTTCGACATAACACAAGACAAGGCTTCGATACTACATGGCATACCATGTTTCATATAACACGGTTTCGGTATAGAACAGTACGAATTAATCGTGTTATACGAGGGACACTCCTGTATTGTAATTAATAGGCCCGTCTTCAATAACACTTTTTTTTTGTTAAATGTACCTGGCGATATACGAAGAAAATGTATTCAAAAGGGCCACAGGTAAAATCGGGGTCTTTTAACTAGTATTTGTATACGAAATGAAGACTAATTTTAGTTATTTGTTTATCAGTAGAGTACAAGCTTTAAAAATCACTATCCAACTCTTATGACAGTCTAAATAAAGTTCAGAATTACTCACTCTCCCAATTATTTGTAGACAAGAGATAAAACAATTGTATAACACATATTAATTGTAATTTAAAAAATTGTAGGCCATTGTTCATTGAATATGTTGTATTTAGTTATATAATAATTAAGTTTGTGTCTGTGATTTAATGAACAAGGCACTAAAGTTGTATAGTTTGTAATGTCCGGCTGTTTTATATGTTTAAAATTAGGTAGTTCATAATAATTAAAGTTATATTGTGTAAATAAAACGTATATTATCAATCTTCACTAATTTATGGTGAATTTTTTTTTTGTTATCTGGCAATACTGTCCATCATTTTTTCTTTTTTTGTATCATTTGAAAAATAACGATATGGCTTATTCATTGCATAAAATGTAATTTGATACGAATTTTGCATCAGTTAACTTTACTGTGCAGTTGAGAAATAAGCCCTGACATTGTTATTTATTTATATTTATAAACTCTTCCTTCTTATATAATATGTCATTGTTTAAGTTTGGTTGCGTACCATAATTATTTTATTTAAATTATGACTAACGGAAATTGCATTTAAGTTAATAATATTGATTAAAATCGATACACGAAATTGGGATACGTTTTCTCAATTAATTATGGTCGTTTCCATTAAACCATAACTGTACAGTGATAAGTTTTTATATATTTTTTATATTATGTAAGTTCAGACCTATTTGAAATAAAATAAGGTGTTGTTGAAATTTGTGTGAACTATTCTTTTATGGTAACTTTTATATAATACTATACAAACTTAAGCGAGGAGGTTTGTTGCAGAAATTATCCTTTGAAATGCACAGCATGTGAATGGAGTGACTCTAGGTCAAATTATGAACCCCGCTCTAGTGGCAGGTAGCCCACTGAATTTCTCTCCGGACCTTCTCAGGGTTGCGTTTCCGATTCGGTGGTAGATTCTTCGAAGCACTGCTCTTGCTAGGGCTAGTATTAGCAACGTCGATAAGTTAGAGCCCCATGAGCTCACTTACTCGCCCGATGGATGTAGTATAAACCTTCGAGGTTACTGGAATAGGTAAGGGAAAAAAAAGGGTTGGTGACAGGGTATGACAATAATGTCTTTAACGCATACTACAGACCCATAAGTTCAACTGTTTGTGAAAACATGTTAATGGATTCTCCAATCGACCTTATTTTGTATGGAAATTGTAAGAGTTCATGCTCTAACCATTGAAAATAATAGAACATAAATAAAATGTAAGTACTTTAATTTGTCAGTCATGATTCACCAGTCGCTTCTTCGGCGTTTTTTTATTAGTCGATATTTCTTCATCAGTCGTATCCTTGGGTCCCTTAATAGAAGCATCTGTTCCTTTAGATTTTTCAGTTTTCAATCTTCGGTCTCGAATCTCGTAACATTTTTTGCTTTTCATCAAGTGACGCACTATGTATCGTTTCATTGCGAATCTTGTGTGACAGTAGTCGCATACATAACCCGGTCCTAGTATCAGAAAAACACACGACATAATAAGTAATTATTCGTTTAACAATAATGAAAATGTATTCATTAAAATTTATTTAAATATGCACGATTAGTTATGTTTGAGAATAAACTTTACACAATATTCAAAGCAGCCACGGCCTAACAGGTAAACGCCAGATGTGCTTATAAATTGCGGATCGAATGTGGGGCACAAGCAATTTGGTTTTTAATTTTCTTAAGTAACCGTGTAATAAAACGTGCTTTTCCGGTTGGAAACTGAGGTAGTTCATTTTTTCTAATTGAAATTTCTATAAGGGACTATATAACTATATAACTCTACTTTTATAATATTATTCGCGTTTCCTTTTTTGATCTACCCTGCAAACCAGAAAATAGGATAGTGATAAGTGCACGTGCGGCCTCACAACACTAGGGATGAGAAAGTGTCTGACAACGATCGAAGTATGCTGATATAATATTGTGTAATTGCTGCCCATTCTCTGGTGAATCCCTTAGTCGTCTTTATGACATCCTAAGCAGCATATTAAACATAATATACAGCATACGGTGTTGTACTACTCTAGGCTACGCAGCCAGTTCGGATTCCAGTAACCACTCGCCAGATGTACTGTCAGTTTGGTAAATTATAATTCAGTACGGAATTACTGCCAAATTACACATTTACTTTGGTATTTTAATTATCACATCTTGCTGGTATTTTTTTTTTTTTAATTTCACCTGTCACCACTACAATAATACATTAGACAGTATATTCTCACGAAAATATGTTTAACAGCTTTTAGATATTTTTAACGTGTTTAATTACCCGTGTGCGTTTGTATGTGACTTATTAAGGTGGTCCGCCTCGAGAACGACCGCTCACAAAACCCGCATTTAAAGGGTTGATCGCCCGTATGAGTTCTGCAAACAACCAAAACAAAAACCATTTGAAATATGTTATTAATACAACGTCACTGATTCACCTCAAAATTCAGTGACTGAAAGTAAAAATAAAAATTATTCAATATTTTTGAGAAAAATAATCATTTTGATTGATTTTTGCGTAAGTAAATACTTAAAGGCGTTTTTGATTTTTCAAAAGTTGTTGTAGATAGCAGTGCTGCTACCTAAGCTTCCGATATTAAAAAAACAAATAGTTGAAAAATTGTGGTCGTGGTAGTTAAAAATGTTAAGAAGTGTTTTCAGGATCTCAATTATTGTTTTTTTTTTTTTTATATCGAAATTTTACTCTTTTTCTCTCGTGGATTTACCCACCCTCTGGTTTCCGACTATCGTTGAACTTTGGAACACGTATAAATTAATCAAATTTACTCATTACAGCTCTCCCGTATTCTTTTTTTTAAGAATATTTGTACTCTGTAAAAAAATGTTCATTGTTTTAATAGAGACAAATGCGTCTCTAGCCTATGTAGCTCCCGTGTACAATCATTACCCTAGGGCCCTCTAGTATGGAATAGGTACAACTGCACCACAGGTAAAGACGCCTCTAATTAGAGATCATTAACAATATTAATACCCTTGGTTCTAAAATAGAAATAAAAAGAAAATAAATTGTTGCTTGTGAAAAATTGTGTGTTATCATGAGGCGATTGTTACACTTCATTTAACTTTATTTTTCACTGCACAACTTCCTTGTTACTGGAGTTTTATCATCCCTACGATCGTTTTATCATCGATCTTTTACGCCTTTAAAATAAATATTATAAATATTTATTAGATTACCTCATATGAATAGTTAAATCGTATCGTCTGAAGAAACCTTTCCCGCAATCTTCGCATTTCAACGTGTAAGTCTTCGCGTGTCGCTTCATGTGAAGTCGCAGGTTACTATATGAGTTGATCGTCACCCCGCATATATTGCACACGTATTTCTGGGAAACAAATCACTGAATGATATAACAATAGTAATATTTATAATAAATAAATAAAATGTTGTATCGTCATCGTTTTTGATACGCGCGCGTATTCAAACATTTCTTTGCACAGACACAGGATAAAAAAAATCGTGTTAATTAAGTTACGATATTTACTAGTAATTTACAAGGTTTTAAGAGTAATAGACACGACTAAGACATAATGAGCATCTTCGAACACAATCCACTCGGGAACACTATATAATTAAATTTCTGATCAAAACGAATGTGATTCAAATCTCTTGTATTGCATTAGCTGGTTACCGAAGAACGTGGATATCAGAAGGCGAGTTCCGACACCCACCTTAAGGTATATCATCGCCCAATTACAGTGAGAAGGAGAAAAATATATTGAAAGCAAATCTGTTTGTTTCGCTGACTATTATTAGTGAAATGTTACGCCGTTAAGAGTAACGCTATCTATCGCCGAAAAGTCGAACGAATATCGAAGGATTTAGTAGCGCCCAGAACACTCGATAAATACAATGCCATCTATTGACAGATAGCGGAAACTACTGCTAGAGATGTGTGGAATATTCTCGATAATTCTAGGATTGATGTATCGGCTATAAAAGCGTTGTAGAGATGTCAGTAATCGGAACTACTCGAAGCGAAACAGCGAACGGATCACCTGAAGCGAATTGATAGTTTTAAAGTGTTTGTTGAGTGTTTTAAGTGTTCTAAGTGTTGAATACGGGTTATAGTTGTACTTTGGTAAAATTTTATTTATTCCGAACCCTCAGCGCGTAACAGAAATAATAAAATGTGCCGCTTACCTTTTTAGAAACTTTCTCCGTTGTTATGCCCGTGTGCGTAACCATGTGCATATCCTTTGTCCTCTGCGAAGTGAACGTGAGCATGCACTGGTCGCAACGATAAATTTTGTTCTCATCCTGTGAACACAATACGATAAAATGAAACGATTTATCGTAACGATAAAACGTTAATTCGTAGGTAGTCACCAAAATCGAACTAAAACTTTCGAAGAGTACTCTTATTTTTTGTACTGTTTGTTTCCTGTTACCTTTTTTGGTGCTGTAACAAAATTATTATATTGTCGTCTATGATCCTTGATTTTAATTTGAATGTTTTGAAGTTCGTAAAAAAATGGGAAAGATTCCGTAATATAAATAAATATAGATAAAACAAATGAAGTCCCGTTCAAAACTACAAATTGACAAAAATGTAATCCAAGAAAATAATACATTTTCAATTATCGGACTCAAACTGAGCTTCGTTGTAAATACGTGAAATACGTTTAAATAATATTATATACACATATAATAGATATATAGATATCAAATACCTAATAAGGAGCAAATAAACCTATTCATCACATAAATGTTTTCCCAATGAGGAAATCGAACTCATTATGTATACTTAGACAATCTATTTATATAGACAGATGATATATATTCGATTTTCAATGTCGAAGAGTACATTGTGTTTTTTAAGGGGATGTTCATTCAAATGCTACGTTTACTTACAAAAATCACATTAAACTAAAGAGATTTTAAATATTGCATTGAGACATACTGCATGCTGCTTCTTGTGTCTACAGAAACGAGCCATGTCATTGAATTCTTTGCCACATTTATCGCATATCCTTCGCTTGTATCTGTGATCGTCTTTATTAGGATTCTTAATTGTGTAACGATGAATCTTCCGCGAGTGTATCCTAAGCGCTTTCATATCCTTGAATTTCTTCTTACATTCCTTACAGAAACAATTTTCTAAATCGAACAATTCGTTCATTGATTTCGCGACATCAGTGTTTTTATTTGCATCTATCAAGCTGTTTTCATCGTCTAAATTGAAATTTGAATTTTTCATATTAAAGAATTCCTCTAAAATTTCTATATTCCCTTCGACGTTTTCATATTTCTCTATGCATTGACCAGTTTTGTGGTCGCTTCCGTTGCTCTGAGATTCTAAATCTATTTTATCTCCAAATAAAATATTGTTTATGATTGGCGTGACGGGCGTTGACAGTCTCGGTAATACTAAAATAGAAATATCTGTTAAGATTATGTTTGCCTCTATATTGTATTTAATTATATTGACCGGCGCCGTACATTTTTTTTTTTTTGTAATTGCCAACATATTGAAATAATGTATTTTCTAATGCACTATAGGCAGATTGAGATTGAGCTCGTTCAATTTCAATCGAATAATAAATAAATATCTATACATAAAAAAATATCTAAACAGCAAAAAATACCAAATTTACAAATAAATGAAGTTTTATTTATACCTGTCGGTGACGCTAGCAACCCTTCTAAAGAAAATTCCGTATTGAGTTCATTTTTCAAGGCTTGCTCCAAGTTTTTGTCTATGTTGTCTTTTGCTCCATTTTGTACATCATTATTATCCAGGGCAATATTTTTCTTTGTTATGTCCCCGGGAAGATAAAATTGTCCCAAAACCTTTTCTTGTTTTGTAGCATTATTTTGTGAATTATTTTCCATTAGAATGTTATTTACTTCTACGTGTTTATTTTCTTTAGTTTTATTACCATCATTAATTTGATAATCGAGATTTGCGTCAACATTAATATTTACATTTAAATCGTCTTTACAGTTCTCAGAATTTATATCATACAGTAGGTCATTTTGTATTTCATCAATGTAATTGTTATCAATAATTACGTTATTTTTAATATCACCATTATTGTAACCAAAAAAATCGATTTCTTTATCGTTTTCTTCAATGTTTTCCTTTTGTTGGTCTATGATTTTATTATTTGCATAATAATTGATATTCAATTGGTCCTTCTGTACAGGGCTTTTTTTAGGCGTGTAGCAATGATCATTCTCAATCGAACGCGGTGTTGAAAACGGACTGAAACTGAAAAATCGAAAATATATTTTGTAAATAAAACTTCGGTAAATTGGGAATACATCGTGGCCTTAAGGATAAGACGTCAGGTGAATTCGTGTTAAGCAATGTAGTGTGTTCGAATCCTAGGCGTAAAAAAGTAACTATACTGAGACCTTAGAACTCATATATCAAGGTGGGTGGCATTTACGTTGTTGATTTCTATGGGCTCCGGTAACCACTTAACACTAGGTGGGCTGTGAGCTCGTACACCCATCAATGAAATAAAAAAAATAAAAAAACTTTACACAAATTAAATGATTAGTGTAGCCAATTTTTTTCAATACAGAATAGATGGATTCAAAATCATTCAAGAAAAAGCAGAAGGAATCTTACTTAAAGTCTAATCTAAAATCTGTATCAATGGATACATCATCCTGAAGCCACTGAGAATCTAATGAATCATCCAAAACGTCAGCCTCTTCTTCAATCACCTCTCGTATGATCCTGGCTTCAGCATCCGGTACCTCCTCGCCCTGTAGGATGTCGGTCATGAAGTTGCGTATGCTTGTGCATACAGATTCTATAAACAGAAACAAGTAACTCTGTTTTTCTCACTAACAAGAGAAAATGATACTGACAAAGCAAGCTTTTAATAAATCACCATGATTACACCAGAGAAAAAAATACCCTTTGAAACTTGCTGAATAAATATTAGATAGGAATATTCAGTACCAGTAGTGAGAGAAGTATCAGTGTATTTGGTGAAATTTGATGGTTCTTCCATGATTTAAAGTAAACAGAATGATGAAAATTCTTGTAAAGGTTCAACAAAGAAGTGAGTCCGTGTGAATGGTTGTGCAGTACTTAGCATGTGGGTAGTCTGTGTGCATGTGTGTGTTACTTAGTAGGCAATAAAATATATAATGAAAAGGATCTCACCATTATCATCATCTCCTTGAGTTGCAGGTGTATTGTTCCCAGTCATTGTAGGAAATCTAAAACAAATAATTATGAAATTAATGAAATGAAATTTTTATGTTAATGTAATTTTTCTCTATCTTTCCTAATTCTCTTTTTAAGATGAGGTCAAAATCTTACTAATACACTATAGCAGCTACATTGATTAGTGAATTGAATTTTAATACTTATTATAAAGAAATATGTTATTTTTTGGATCAATGTAATCACAGTATGCAATAAATCTGAATGATTTTTAACTGAAAAGTAATTCTCAATGAAAGGGATGTCTCATAATTTTCAGATTTACACATTATTATTTTAGCATATTTTTTAAGTACTTAGTTATTATGCATATTAGATCTGAATAATAATAATTAAAAGCAAAAACAAATAAAATTTAAGTGATATTTTTGTACTTACCTAAAAGTGAAAGGATGGTCACTGTTCTTTAAAAAATTACAGAAATCAACATCATCGCCATTATTTTTCATTGCCACAAAATTTTTTAGCTTTTTATCTGAAGAGCGACATTGTTTTTTGAATTTACATGCCGTCTTCATATTTAAATAACAATCTTTGCAAAGTTGAAAAGTGAATGAATCATTTCGTTTTGCCTGGAATTTAAATTTTTCAATCATTTTCACAACAAAAACAAAGTTCAATCTAATCTAGAATCAAATCTAGCCTTCAAACTAATATTGTACAAAATTGATTACTAACTAGCAGTTATAGCTCTCATACTTAAACTATCATTCTTGTCTATAACCAGTACTCCATTTGTCTATAATTCTACCTCTGCAACTTCCTAATAGTACTTATGGTACTGGTGGTATGCACACTGCATGCCCATAAATAAGTGATTACCAATATTAATAATTTTTATTACTCCCCTGATTTAAAGTGTAGGACATAAGTTGAAATTTTATACACTTATGTTAATGTCTAAGGGTGAGCAGCAATAATGGTGATATGGTGTTTAATATAATTTTGTCGGGGTCTTTACTTGGTTTTCTAAATTGGAACACGAGACGTGCAACAAATACTGTTTTGCTATACATACCTGCAAGCCAGTAGAGTACATGAACAATCTTCTGTTCTTCTCACTGTATTGTACAAGCTCCATAGGTTCATCATATTTTATTAGACATCCCCGACAGAACCCCTCCATAATTATGAAATGGCAGTTTTCTGCGATATTCTAATTTGTTCATATACATACAACTAGCTCTTCGTTATTTTGTTTACAACTTTTGAGTTTCAAAAGTGAGTTAACACAATTGAGTATTCCTGTTAATTATCATTAAAAAAGGAGGTAGGTACGGTACTTACGAAAGAATCAAGTTAATATATTTTATATTATGGCAGTTTGAGAAATATTACTTTTTTTTAAACAGGTAAATTAAGGTAACGCATTCATCTTCTTGTGTTTACATCTGTTTAAATTTATCTTATCTATGGTTTACATCACAGATTATTTAATTGTTTAAAATTACCATGAAAGTATTAAGTATGTATTACGTACAACTAGAACCATACTTATTACTAGTTAATTACAGTCCGCGCGCGAGCTACGAGGAATTTTAAGACATGTTGACGTAATGAGCTAGTGTTGTAATTAGTCGATATTGCGCTATCGATACTAACACATCTTAAGCCAAAGTGCGATTATAAATTATAAACTAGTTTTATGAGGGTAAGTACTTCAAATAAATAAAAAAAAAACAATTGATCATTTATGAATTTAATTTAATGAACTGATACTTATTGAACAAAATGAATGTGAAATCTTATTCATTACTCTCGCAAAGATTAGATTAATCAGTAGTTGAAGAATTTGATGTACTATTGTCACTCTCCTCGCGTACTTCATTAATAAATGATTCGACAACATACTCCATTAAGCCATCCTTTTGACAGTAATGTTCCTCTATTGCTAAGCCATGTTTATTATGCTAGTGCTCGCCAATCCTTTTTCATGAAATTAAATAGCTCTTTGTGCAAACAAAAAGACTTATAAGCGTAAGACTATTTATATTGGAAATCACACGTAATTAACACTGCTAAATATCGCAAACTTAAAAATACCGAGTCGGTAAGCGTACTCTCACGTTAAGGTCGACGCTAGTACTGGGAGACTGCGGGGTATGAAGCGACGGTCGGGCGCGGTGCACGCACGCCTGCTTCCTCAGCCCCCGAATCCTCGGAGCTCGCGCGCGGACTGTACATACCTTTAATTTAAAATCACAGATTAATATATTGTAGGGATTGGGATGAAGATGAAAAGAAATGAGATGAGATGGAATAAAATGTCAGTAAAAAAGTGGTTGAGACATTTTAGTGGACTTTTAGGAAGGAGCCTAAACGCCACGTCCTGTGGCTCTATTCCATTTTCACACTTTTTGGGCTTTCACAAATGCTAAAAAGTTAATAAACCACCGTTAATACATATTTAAGCCCGATAAAACAATATTACGACAAAATAAAATAAAAATTACCTCTTTATGTATTCAGCAAAAAATTAAATTAATCGTTTAATATCTGAAAAAATACATTAGTGTGACAATTGCAATGAAAATTATCTGTAAGTGCCTCCTCAGTTTCATCAACAAAATTCACAGAAGCCTTAAAACCCATAATTCTTCTGAGAAGCTACATAAATTCAATAATTTTGATTTTTCGTATATTTTTTCGATTATCGGCTTCCTTTTTTTTAAATAAAAAATTTAACGTGTACGGGCAAATTTTTCCTTTGCCTATAATCAAAAACACTAAAAGTACATAGGTATTTGAGTTTGGGACTTTTTGGCGGGAATGCGAGGTGTGAAGTTGTGCGAATTGTTTTATTTTGTCTATTTAGTATTTCGTCAGGTTTAAATGTGTAATAACGGTGGTTTATTAACTGTTTAGTATCTGCGAAAGTGCACAAATGTGGGAAAATGAAACAAAGCCGTTGGACGTAACTTCTCGGGATCCTCCAAAAAGGCCACTGATAAAATCTCAGTAAACGACCACCATTTTACTGAGATTATATTTCATCCCATATCATATCATCTCATCTCATTTCATTTAATTTAATCCCAGTTGATTAATGTCTCAAATTCTTCATTTCATTTCACTCTATATTATCATTTTTCCTAAAAATATCCCATAGCATACATATATATTATCTCATCTCATTTCAACTCATTTCATTTCATGCTATGTCATGTTTCATATTAAGCAGCTTCATTTCATTTCATAATATAATAATTCATAAAAAATATATATATAAAAGATTAGGCCGTATGGTGTGATACCTTTGCCTTTATATTTGGAAAAGTAAAACTACTACTACTGAATTTGATCGCATTTGTCATCAATACTTTGACAGAAGTGTTGTGTTTATTTCATTTTATTTAATTTGTATTTTCAGTTTGAATCCATTCTGAAATAATTCCACCTATTCGAAATGGCAAGTAACGAAAATAGTCAAATAAAGTTAAATATTCAACCAACTCGAGTATTACATTTTAGTGACGGAGTGGACGAAATAGTGGAAGAAGAGGAAGTGAATGAATTAAAAAACGAATCCAAGGAAGCGAACGTAGATCCTGTAAGTTTATCAAATTTAGTTTTGAAATTGAACAGGTAAACGTATCTTCGTGGCTTTGGCAATACAGCACGTTAAACAAGTTTTCAGGAAACATACTTTGTAGAAAATATGAAACATCCTTTTCGATTCATGACTCACTTACTATGTAAATTCATGATATTACTGCCGAAGTTGAAGGCAATCTATTGTATAAATAAACATGACATCACTATCTTCAATACTGTAGTTTTAGAATAAGAAATCACTAGAATATCCTTATTATTATGTTTAGAAGAATAGCCTATTTCCACAGACATTTTGACATGACGAGGTCTAACTCTCAATTGTATAGTATATATATTAGCTGTCCCAACCTTCCAAGCAAAACTTTTTACTGCTTTTGTTAGGGTGGTGGTATTTGCCAGACTGGGCTTACTAGACGCCCTATCATAAGATACCTATGCCATGACTATCAGACAGGACACACTACTGTGTAATATACATATATTTTTAAATTCAATATCTTTAAAAAATCTATCTATAACTAAGAATCTAACTTAGAATGTATGGCATACTAATCTTCTAGTTCTCTAACTACCAAACCATGATGGACAAAGAATTATATATTGTATAAAATGATCATGAGACACAATGACATTTAGTAGTAGCATTTTGGAACCATTTTTATTTATTTAGTAATCATTTTAATGTAATTTTTGTTGCCAGAAAACCCTTTCTTGGCTGCCTTGGCTTACGCATTATGCAAATACATCAGGCACTAAAGTGCTAAATGCAATTGATTATACCGGAGAGTCACTTGCAAACTTCTTTGGCATAACAACACCGAAATATCAGCTTGAAATAGACGAGTATGAAAGATTAAAAGAAGAGAAAAAGAAAATGGAAGACGAGTCAGCTGGTTGGGTACCAAAGAATTCTGGTGGTGATATTCCTTTAGTGTTAAATGAGCCAGGAAAAGATGTAACAAGACAAGAAGCCTGATATGAAGCTGAAGTATGCTGCATGGTTTTAATGAAGTATATTAAGAAAACCACATCTAAAATTAAGCCATGTGAACCAAAAATTTAATTACAAGCACTGTATGTACAAACAATTCCTGATTGTATCATCAACTTCACATGCACCTTGCACTAAACATAACACTGTTATATTTAATTTTAGGATTAGAAGAATAATATGTAAATATCAAATTAACATTTTATGAAATGAAACCATTAATTTTTCATTCAGTCTGAGTTGTTGGTAAAATTTGGCAGTATTGATGCAAAACACAAAAGGTCCCTTAATGTCTTTTGAATAATTAGACACAAAATGAGAATGCATATTAAATTTATTGTTCAGTAAAAATTAGAGAGAAATGTTTAATCAAGGCAAATTGCTTATTAGAAATGGAAAATTTATTTAATTAAAAAAAGAATGGTACCAAATATAGAAATGGTTTGACCCGACTTCCGTTTATGCAATGATTTGCTTTAAGAAACAGCTAAACGATTTAAAAATTATAAAATAATTATAAAATTAATTATATTTAAATGTTGACTTTTGTTTTATATAGATCGTTATTTTATTTAACACATAATTTAATTAATCTATAGTTTTGTTACATTAAGTAGAAGAGTAAGAAATAAATTTAATTTAACAATATGTATATAATTTGAGATTTCATTTTTTGTGAAAATTTTCAACCATATTCGAGTAGTTATTAACTCATAGGCTACAAAAGGTAAAAATCTGTTACAAATACTGTGTATGTGCTGGACACCAGAATATCTAGTGTTATATAGAAAATACACTGTAGAATACGTTCGTTTAATGACATCTGTTGGTGAGTAGATAAATGTTAAGATAAAAAAATCACATGTTTTCTTGTTTGCCTGGTAGATGGCAGTACTAAACAGTGTTAAAGGCAATAAAAATTCCAACGTTGCTTTAAAAATATTTAAAATATCATAAATTGAGTTTTAAACGACTACAAAATAAAGAAGTGAATTTTCGTAATCGTAATTATTTCAAGTTTTAATTAGATCGAACATTCTCGTTTACGAGCCCGAAATTTCAGAAACGTAACGACGTAACCGACATGCGCTTTTTTACAGGACGTTCGACTTAAACTCGTATGNTAAAAATTCAAACGTTGCTTTAAAAATATTTAAAATATCATAAATTGAGTTTTAAACGACTACAAAATAAAGAAGTGAATTTTCGTAATCGTAATTATTTCAAGTTTTAATTAGATCGAACATTCTCGTTTACGAGCCCGAAATTTCAGAAACGTAACGACGTAACCGACATGCGCTTTTTTACAGGACGTTCGACTTAAACTCGTATGCGCAAAGCAGAATTTCGATTGTGGTCTTCCCGTATGTTATTGTTTGTCGCTTTTTGGCGTGTGATATGTCGAATCGTAAACGGTTCGAGCGGCCTCGTGTCCGCCGCAGATCAATATGCGTGCTCGTGCGAGGGTGTACAGACTCGTGCGATTGGCCGGCACATGTGGGGCGGAGCCGGCGTGTGTGAGGCGGCGCGGTCCGGAGTTCGGCGCTAAGTTAGTCGCTGGCTATCCAAACTTCAAATTACCGAATGCTTATAATCTGCAAATTTATTTCTGAATACATTGATCGATACTTAGCTTGGCTTTTAAGTAATTGAGATTGGTGCTTAATCAATTACCTACCTATTAATTATTTATTATTTAATAAAAAAAAATTACTAGTGGTAGGACCTCTTGTGAGTCCGCACGGGTAGGTACCACCGCCCTGCCTATTCATCGCCGTGAAGCAGTAATGCGTTCCGGTTTGGAGGGTGGGACAGCCGTTGTAACTACCTATACTGCGACCTTAGAACTTATATCTCAAGGCGGGTGGCGCATTTACGTTGTAGATGTCTATGGGCTCCAGTAACCACTTAACACCAGGTGGGCTGTGAGCTCGTCCACCCAACTAAGCAAAAAAAAAAACGATTTTAAGTTTTGCGTTCGTTGCATCTCGAATATATTATTATTACACTATCGGCACGCTATGATGGCCGTTTTGACATATTATAATAGGGATGTGAAATGTCAATTTATTCTCGAAAAGTGAGTGGACAAACGGCCATCATAGCGTAGTGGTAGAATAAGTTTTACCTATAAAATTGTCGTTTAGAATTCAGAAAGTTGAAGTCATTTTTTTTTCTATCATCAAAATATGCACTCGATGCATCTCTGCAATTACAGTGGTATTTATTTAATGCTCAGGTGTTGAATAAATATACGCTTAAAAGGAATTTTGTATTAACTCTCGGACATTGAATTTTTCCCTACCGAGAAGTTGTCCAAATTTTGTAGAAAAAAAAAGTGGTCCGTCAGTGTAAGACCTGGTCAATAGGCCTATAGTGGATGACGCAAAACTCCCAACCTTAACTCTTGTAGTTAAGAGATCGTCTGCTGAGTCGTTTGAGGTCGAGCGTTGTCGTGTAGGAGCAACGAGGAGAACGATTAAACAAGATTAGCTGGGGATTGATGAGTTTCTTCATCATTGTGCCCAATTCCTCATAGCACATATCCGCAGAAAAGCTTGTGGCGTTTGGTAAGAAGCTGTGATACCGATACTAGACGAAAAAACAGTGACCATGGGTTTTTTTTATTGCCCTTGCAGTCAGACGAGCATACGGCCCACCTGATGGTGAGTGGTTACCGTCGCCCATGGACTTCAGCAATGCTAGGGGCAGAGCCAAGCTACTGCCTACCGCTTAATACTCTCCACAAGCCTCGTTTGAAGCAGTTTTTATAGGAGTTTTCATTTGGAGCATTACCTAGGTGCTGAACCAGGGTCTAACCAAAACGGTGACTGCTTACGATTTTTAATAAGAATCCATTTATCTTTATCGCAAGTGACGATGCGGTTATGTGTTCGTTTATAGTGTTCACTCTGTTAATAGTACAATTGAGACTCGTCTCATGTCTCAAGGTGAGTGGAAAGATTCATATCATGACGGCAACAGCTTCAATAAAAACTTAGTTGTATAACTTTGTTAACCACTGAGTTTCTCATCGGATCTTCTCAGTGGGTCGCGATTCTGATCCGGTGATAGATTCTGCGAAGCACTGCTCTTGCTAGGGCTAGTGTTAGCAAATTCTCTTAAGTTGAGATCGTGCGCTCACGTCCGGGTGCAGCTGGAATATCCCCTTAGACTAATCAGCAAATAGGTAAAGAAAATACCAGTCCGTGTAGGTACGTCATAAGAGTCATTTTTGCGGAATTGCTAACGCGATACAACTCTTATTCCATAATGTAGTATTTTTATAGGGTCCAAATGTAGTTAAAACAAAACACTAATCGATTAAAAATTGACTGAGTATAATAATAATTATAGAATTTAATATTTATAAACTAAAATTCATTTGAACTTAGAACTTATTGCCAGCCAATTTTTTTTTAGTATATCACTAAAAAAAAATTGGCTGGCAATAAGTTCTAAGACATTTTATCTGTAAAGACATTATTATTCTTTTTGGTATAAGTGAACAGAGAGCATACATAGCCTTCTATGCACGCTCTGGAGTCTTATCGGCTACGGCAGTAACAAAACACCAGGTGGATTGTAAGATCAAAGGTCCATCTTTACCGATAGAAGAGTATTATTATTAACAATGATTTTAATTTCGCGAAAATACCACGATAATATTTTTATTTATTTTGATTGAATCGACAATAACGTGGATGTAGCCAGTCTCGAAAAAACCTTCAAGGTCAATCCAAACCTTCAATATCATGTTTATATAGAAAATTATCTTGAAAATGTCGTTGACGCGATTCAGGCATCTGGCCAATATCTTCTGTACACGATAGCTACACGCTACATTGTCACGCCCGACCTTTATGTACCTACGTAATTATCTGGCTATTCAATAATTCGTTAACATATCGGGTCATTGCGTACAAAACATACATCCTTTAGTATTTTGTCCCTTCGATAAATTTGCGCTATGAAGCGTGACGCATAGTCACCACGCGGGTTCCGTTTGTAAAATATTCTAAAATAAATTATTAATAATATTAATTTAATTTTTTTGTGTACACAAAAAATCGCTATTAATGGATTTTAATTAAGCTACTGGTTGGTGTGAGGCAGTAATATTTGGTAAAATAATAAATTTATGTACTCACTACCTTACTACCAGAATTGAAATAGCTGTAGGTCTTGTTGCTATAGAATGTGCTATAATAAATAGATATGCAGTGCTAGATTTTATTTAATTGCCATAAATTTCATTAACATTTAAATGTCTTTTCATATAACACTAAGTGTCTCATCGTAGTAGGGAGACTGGAGATCAGTAATACAGGCCTTTGAACCTAGTACAGACTTCAGATCTTTCAAAGGTTAACAAAATAAATTTTAACGTTAATTTGTATTTGTTCTGTTCCTTTAAGAGAGAAAATAAATGAATATTTTATTTATCATTCAAGTATTATTATTACTATTCTCTAACTTTTCATACATTCCGTAATATGTATTAGTTCCGTATTAGAATTTGTTATTCCTATGTTTTATATTATATATTAGGTATATTGTGGATATTTGTGATCTTAGTAGATGAATAAGCACCTAAAAATACACTTTGGCTTGGTCAATAAGGTGACGATAATGCGATGGTTTTGTATCATAGCTTGTCCGACAGTTAATTTCAGTTTTCAATGCGTCCAATCTAGTAAAATATATCACGGAACTGTACCCTAAAAATTAGCGAATGTGTTGCTACCACCGGCCAGTTTACAAGAAAACATACCAGAATTTCTGGTTCGTAACCGATTGTGTTTCTGCACGGATTCGCAAAATAATTCGGCAGCGTATTAAAGCCATTGTTCAAACCGGTTTCGGCTGGTTCACGGTGTTTTAACGTCAATATTGTTTGAATGAAACGCGCGTGTAGGTACGTTTTTAATTTTCGAATGGCGAAGCGTGCCTCATCGGGAACTGGATCGCGATAAAGAATCTTCGATGGAATCGCGAAACTAGTTTGGTCGTCATCGCCAGCTTACCTCCGGACGACTAGATGAACCGGATAAAACTAGTTTAGTGGCGAGTAATAATTGACTGACTGTTTTTGCGTGAAGCGATCGTCCCAGCTCTAATGCAACTGATTCTCAAATCTCATCCTTTAAAAGTGGGCGGTAATTAAAATGTCGTAGGTAATCATGCTATGATATAGTTTATATAGGTTTATAACTTCAAATTCAATTTTATAAACATCAAATTCAATTTTGCCAATATCAAATCATGACTGATAGGAATTTTTTGTTTTTTTGTTTTGTTAACTTTCAAAGAATAATAAAAAAATTCTAATCTTGGAACAGAAATTGAATTAGATATTTACAAAATTCGAATTTGAGGTTAAAACCTATACTTATATATCCACCAATAATTAGATACGTGAAGCCGTACGTAAATACTTAGAACGAAGTTTTACGGACTTACCGATTTTTCACGATTTTTGTTGATATAAAATTACTATTTAATATTCGCATTACCGCATTTGGAAATACATATATTGTAAAAACAAAATTGGTACCTACATTTTTGATCGGCACTCAAACTAGCTGTCCTTCTAACCCTAAGCAGCAGATGTTCTATATTTAGAAAGAATCGAAAGTTCATAAAAAATCTTTTGTGGCGATTCGAAAAATAGAGTTTCGTTTTACAATAAGCCATGCAAATTAGAAAGTTACGTTATTCGAGAACGTCATACTCAAATATGAAAATACATTCAAAATGCGACTCTAAATTCTTAACTAAGAGCTGAAATTATTTCGATTGAATTCATGATGCAAATTTTATTTTTCTTTGTCTCATTTCGAAGAAGAAGCAACCTTATTTCTATTACGTGTCGGTCGGAATCGGTATGAAAGGTTTGGGTTGTGCAAAAATTTGCATATCGAACGTTGCACACC